CAGCCGGCGGAATCCCTGCAGTCCCCCTCCCCCGCTCCACCCCCCCCCAGGAGCTGAGAGCTCCCTGGCTGCTCCTGAGGATGCTCCGGGGCGCTGCCGATGGAGACCCAATGCTGGGGCTGGGGCGGGTGCCGGGTGCTGGATGCGGCCCCCCAGCACGTCTCCGCTGTTTTTCCGTTGTAGAGCAAGTGCTTGAGGAACCGGCCGAGGGCAGGAAGTTTTCTGCCTGGTAGCAGCAAACCCTCAGCGAGAAGCGTGTGTTATGGGGGGTGTTACGTGAAAGGAGAGGTGGGAAGGCAGCTCCCGGGGCTCAGCAGGGTGGTACAGGAGAAAGTGCTCCGACTGCGTTTCCCATCAGTGCTGGAGTTTAGCAGAGGCTCCTCAGCCGGTGGTGCCCGGGGATGCCAGGACAACGCTCTCAGCCCCGCACTGCGCTGCCTTCTCCTGTGCCAGCAGAAGGACCGAGGTGTCGCCTCTGACATCTCTCCTGTGCTGCTTTCCCTGGGGGAATCTCGGGGTGTTTTGCAAGTGACCGATGCACCACCACGACCTCCCCTGTGCGGCCGTGACACGGGGACCCGGCTGAGCGAAGCGGCAAGGTAGGGAGGGACCAGGAGCTTCAGCTCTTGCTCAAATTCTGCTGCCGTCTTCTAGGTACGGGGGTGACGAGCCCCTGACCGAGGTCATGCTTGTTGGTGGTGCCGTGGGGGAAGGGAGCTGGACCGGTTGTTTTTTGGAGGAGGAAAGGGGGGATCAGGCTTTGGCAGGGGTGAGGATGTCCCCGTGGCATTTGCTGAGAGCGTTGTGTCCCCGCCTGGCTCATAGCAAACCCCTGGTATGACCTTGAGCAGAGGAGTTATGTCTGTAGCACACACTGGAGTCCTGTCCTACATTAATAACACAATCAGTTGATATAAAGCTAATATGTTGGGCTGATAAATAATTAAGGGAAAAGGAAAAACCCTCTATGATTTGCTTAACAGGAGCTTGGGAAGGAAGGGAGGGGAAAAAAAGGACAAGGAAGCAGATGAATAATGGATCAAGGTTAAATGGTGAGCGAAAAAGGAAAGCCTTAACACGGTGAATCCCTGCAACACACATGCTGCAGGTTGCCAAACTAGTTAGCGTCGGCAAAAACAGCTTGTGGCCTTGGCACAGAGGCAGCGGCGGCAGCCGGGACCAGCCCAGGGCTGTGTCCGGGACTACCACAGGCTCAGACGGCATGAGACCCCCAGAAGTGGCTTCTTGGTGTGGGGGCCGGTGCCCCGGGGCTGCTCTGCAGCGGGCGTGGGGCTAGGCAGGGGCTGGGGGCCGCAGGGTGGCCTCATCCTGCAGGCACCGAGGAGGTGCCAGGCGCTGGCAGTGTGCGGGGACTTCCAGGCATTCATTACTGCTCTCATTGTGCGCGCTCGGCACAACTTCCAAGGAAATTAAAATCACAACGTGCAGCTAATGAATTATTAGCAAAGGGACGAGTCCCTTTCGCCTCACTGCACGCCTGACCGCTTGCCTGCCCCCCTGCCTGCGCTCGCTGCCTGCTCTGCCCGCCCGGGATGGGGTGAGCTCTGCGAGAGGGCTGGGACGGGGCCAGAGCATCCCGGCAATGCCGGGTTTGGTACCCGAGGCCTGGGCCGGTTCCTGGGAGCAGCGGCTGCAGGACGGGGGGCTGACCCTCCGGCGGGGGTCTCTGGCAGGCAGGGTGTGGGGGGTCCTGCCCGTCCCTGCGGTCAGCAGCACAGTGCAGATGCTGACGGGCAGACACGAGCCTCCCTCCGTCCTGGCCCGCATTTAATTTTCTTTTTGGTTTGTCCGTGTGTCCGTGTCCTCCTGTCTGTCTGTGCTCTGGAGCGGTGCGCGGCTCCTGTGTCTTGTCTGTGCCGTTTTAATGACCCAGTGCTGTTTTATTCATGTTTCGGTCTGAACATCGTAGTCTTGGTGGCATCCCAGCCCCTCCATCCCTCCCACTGCCCCCTGCCCCATCCATCTCCTGCCACCACCAGCCCCGTGCCTGGAAGCGGGGACACCACTGCCATCACAGGGGGATAAACCCTGCACCCACCAACCCTCCGGTTGTATCCCGTTGAGCGATGACCCCGCGCCCGGCTAGGCTCAGCTATCACTCCTCCCCGTCCCCAAATCTTAGCACCCCACCTCTGCCCCATAGCAGCGGGGCCGCCCCGGGGCCGGCCCTGACCCCGCTCTGCTCTCCCCCCGTGCAGATCCCGAGAGGACGAGCACCCACATGATCTCGGCGGACGATGCCGAGTACCCACGGGAATACCGGACCTTGGGCAACGGCACCCGGCGTTTCTCCAACGTAGGGCTGGTGCACACCTCGGAGCGCCGGCACACCGTCATCGCCGCCCAGAGCCTGGAGGCCCTCACCGGCCTCCAGAAATCGGAGATGGAACGCAAGCGGGACGCCTTCATGGACCACCTGAAGAACAAGTACCCGCAGCACGCGCTGGCGCTCCGGGGGCAGCAGGAACGCATGCGGGACCAGGTAAGGGGCGTCTTCTCGGGGTGGGGAGGGACGGGGACCCCATCTCACCCTTTGGGGCTGTCTGGAGGAGAAGAGGCTCACCGGGGGCTTGGATGGTGCATGAAATGGGTGGCTGCTTGCAGCAGCCCCAGGGGGGGAGCATGCCCTAGCCCCGGGGAGGGAGCATCCTCCAGCCCCAGGGGGGAGCAGCCCCGTCTCTCCCCAGGGCTGGGGGGGGTCCCAGGGGGATTTACCCTGCCATATGGGGGGATTCGATCACGGGCTGTCCCCAGCCATGGGGAGGAGAGGGATGTTTCTCCGTGCAGGGGACATGCAGAGGGGTGGGTGTGATGGCCGTGAGGGGCAGCTGGCACCTGGATTTGACCCGCGGAGGGGTGACGCTCAGCCCAGGTCTCAGGAGGTTTCAGCTGGGCTGCAAACCCTGACCTCTCCGGGGAAGGGGCAGCCTGACCCATGGGCTGGTGTCTCTGCAAACCCTGCTGCGTGCCTGGCACTGCACGGCCCTGCAAGCCTTGTCTGGGCTCCCCACGTCTCTGCAGCCCCCCAGCTCTGAAGCAGTTGCTCGCTGCCATAGCTTGCATGGTACAAAAGGCCTAAATGAATAGTTTGCCCAGGCAAAGCTTCGCCCCGGCCCTCGCCCCCAGCCTGGCGGCAGCTCTGCGGCACGTCCCCGTGCCAGCCCGCGGTGCCCCGGCACAGCCTGTCCCCGGGTGTCTGTGCAGTAGTGCTGGGGGTGAGGATTTAGCATTACTCAATGTTTGGGCAG